GATGTACATAGTTATTTCTCATTTTTCATTGGTTGAAACAAGTCAGATGGTCATGGCCACCTTTAAGGAGATGGAGAATGTTACCTTGCTGTATACCCACATTGGGTGTTTCTGCAGAGGACCTGGGTTCAATTCCAGCACCCACATGGCTAACAACTGTTTGACGCAGGTGTTCTATCAGGGATAAGCAGTCTGCAGCCTCTTATTCTCTGCACATTGGCCAGTTGTGCTTCTCTATATTAATCACCATCTGCTGCATGAAGAAGCTTCTCTGGTGTCAAAATATGTTCATCTATGCAGGAAGAAACTCTTGGGAACTTTCGCACCCCTGAGTTATGGGAAACTGTTGAGGGGATTTTCACCCAAGATGACAAGGTTATGGTTTTTCTATGCAAAAAGCCTACCCTAAAAAAGGCTCGGGATTGTGCTTGGGATCAAATGCCCAGTGTAGTTGCCAACTGGCTATAAAAACTTTCATTTGGCAATATTCCATGTCTGAGTAGTCTTCACTGGTGGAACACTTTGTGACATTTTGGGAGGCCCCAGTGAGATCCCCAGAGATTTAGACCCCAGATCCCAGGGTGTTTCAGTCTCTGACTGGGGTGGAAGGAGAGTGGGTCTGGACAGACCCCTAGGAGAAGCATCACCTGATACATTCTAGGTCCCCAGGAACTCTGGACTGCTCTGGTGCTCCAGTGGTCTCTGATACCTCCACCTCCAAAATTTTTTGAAGATCATAGAAAATTCCCTGGTTTTGAAATCCTCCTGGGGTAAGTTGGACTAAGGCGTCCTCAGTAGAGGACACTTAGGAGGGGCTGGACATGTCACTAATCCAATGGTATGACTGTTTGGTGACCACTGCATATTCATCTTGTCATTGTATTTGAGCTGGTATCATCTGTCATTTGTTTCTGTCAGTCTGTTACCTACAGCAATATAGGAGGCATAATGAATTGTCCCAAGATTCCCCTGAAGTGCGTGCTTAAGCATTTTAGAGATGGTTTCTTGGACGAGAGTGACTATGGCACCTGTTTCTCACGCGGGGGAACTCCGAACATTCTGTGAACTTGAATGGCTGACTTTCGATGTGGGGTGGCACCGTGAGAGGACTCTGGATGTCTGGATAGCCTGAATAGTCTGGAGCATAGTCACTGGGGACCCTGGACACCCTGACCGATTTCCCTACATTGACTATTGACTGTCCCTAATTCTGAATCTTCCATCTTGGCTTAAAACCTCTTTAGGTACCCATGTTTTGTCAGTTTGACCTGAGATGGAAGGAAAAGTGAGAGTACCACCAATCCTCTTGGCCCAGCCAGAGGATAGTGACATCCCTCCCCCCCATGCACCCAGCTGACTCCCACACGAATGGATGGCCGAAAGGGCCTTGGATGGAGACCCAGTCTCCTCCACCTCAGGACTCCTCTCCCCTTTCCATAAGTGAAGCATCTTTGCTTATGGGGAGGGGAGATGAGCCCTTGATGAGGCAGAGGTGGCATCTATCCTTTCCCTAAAGGAAGCCCTGCCCATGGAACCGGGGCAACAGGAAACAGCAGGAAGCTCAGGTGGCTCCCACCAAAGGCGCCCAGGTCTGACTGCCTGCCAATCCCCAACTATCATCCAGTTGTGGAGCACAGCAACCCCTGCGAGAGCCAGGCAATATCCCATGAGTCAGGAGGCAAAGCAAGGAATTGCCAAACACATAAAGAGATTAAGGGAAACAGGGATTCTTGTCCCCTGCCGTTCCTCCTGGAACACCCCACTGCTCCTAGCTCTGAAGCCTGGTACCCAAGACTACCAACCTGTGCTGGAGGGTTAACAAGTGGGTAGAGACCATCCACCCTACAGTTCAGAAACTCTATACTCTCTTAAGCCTCCTACTTCCAGAGAAACATGTCTATATAGTCCTAGGCCTGAAGGATGCCTTCTTTTCCCTACCCTTGGCATTTGTCAGTTGGCCCATCTTTGCGTTTGAATGGATTCATCCAAAGGGAAGATACACAGGCCGATTGACTTGGACTAGGTTACAGCAAGGGTTTAAGAATTCTCCAGCTTTGCTTGATGAGGCCGTGAGTGCAGACCTCCTGGAATTCCACCAGAGGCATCTGGAGAGTACCTTACTTTAACATGTGGATGATATCGCCGCAGAGACAGAGGAGAAATGCAAGAGGACCACTGAAGGAGTCTTGGGGACTCTTCAAATCCTGGGCTATCGGGGAGCAGTCAAGAAGGCTCAGGTCTGTGTGCTCTCTGTCACCAATCTGGTGTATAATTTGGAAGAGGGAAAAACATACTTTATTCCAGGGATGTATCTCAGTGATCCTGCAGATCCCTACTCCAAAGAACAAAAAGAAAGTATGGGAATTCCTGGGGGGAGTTGGTTATTGCCACCTATAGATTCTAGGATTTTCAGAAATCACAAAACCTCTATATGCCAGCCTCAGAAGGACCCAATCACCAGAATGGACTGAGACTGAATAAGAAGCCTTTGTGGCCCTAAAGAGGTCCTTTGTATCTGCACCAGCTCTGACCCTCCCAGATGTCACTAAACCCTTCCATTTGTTTGTGGATGAGGCCTAAGGCATTGCCAAGGGAATTCTGGCTCAGATCCTGGGACCATGGAAATGTCCCATGGCTTACCTATCTAAAACACTGGATCCTCTATCAGCTGGGTGGTTAGCCTTTATACAGGCCATAGCCAAGGGTATTAAATATTAATTGGAAATTACACAGTGCCTATAGGCCACAGAGTTCAGGACAGGTAGAAAGAATGAACAGGACCCTAAAAGAGACCCTGACCAAATCGGTTATAGAAACAGGTGAAAGTTGGGTCAGCCTCTTCCCTTGGCTCTCCTCAGGGCTGGATGTGCCCCCTACTGGGAAGGATTCTCCCCCATGAAATTATGGTGGGGAGACCACCACCTATCCTCTCCAAGCTAAGAGACGTACATAAAATAGAAATAACTAATCACTCCCTTCTCAGTTAAAGAAGGCTACAGAAGAAGATGGGAAATGGGCTGTCGCTTGGACCTCCGACCCACTGAAGACGACATGAACACCCTGATTGTTATAGCTATGCTTTGGTTCCTTTTTCTTCCCAAGGAAAATGCAGATAACCCCCACTGCCCTCAAGCCTGGGAATGGCAACTAAGGAAGACTGGGGGCAGAAAAGTCTTTGCAACCATGACCACCAACAGCCAGCCAATCCACTTTCCAGATAAACCTTTCTACCTTTATGACCTTAACCTTATGGTACCCCAATGGCAGTCATTGGGGTAGAACGATAGGCTATGGCAACTTAGCATTTGAAAAAGGAATTCAGACCCTCCAATTCTATGCCTCTTAACAGAGAGTCTTCCTGTCAGGAGAATGACCACTACCACTGTGCAGCCTGGGGAGGTGAGACAATCCTCATGGGTGTATACATATATTTATTGCCTGTTTATGCATATCCTTATATTGCATAAATAGGCAACAAATGACCCAGACTTGTTCCCCAGGTGATTGTAATCCCCTGACCATCAAAATCATGGGCTGGAATACTGCAGATCACAACTACTGGGTGACAGGAAGGACCTTGAGAATAAGGTTTTATGCCACTGGGAGGGATCCTGGGGACGAATTCACCACACAAAAGAGACATCCACCTTGAGACCCTCAACCCTTTGGTCCAAACCAAAACCTTTATCTACTGGTACCTCAAAGGCCTACAGTCCACCACCACCCTACAACCCCAAAACACTTCTAGAGGACCGGTGGGATTTGATGGGTGCATATTATCTTGATTTTTGGTTATTTGTGGTTTGTGCTATGACCTGGGAATATGGCTTCCTTTCGGCTGTGTGTCTAATATGAAATTCTAGTCTGCTTTCGTTGAGTAGAAGTTTGTTTTTGTTTTTATTCCTGTTGATCCTTGGTTGATACCCAATCAGGTATCGATAGATGGTTGGTCTGCGCTTCGGGTTCTCGCTTTCGATTTTTTTATTGGCCGGACTGGGTGATTCCAATCTGATCCAGTGTGCCAATGGGGCAATCACGACAAGCATTGTGAGTGTGGAAGCTGAGAATGAGTGGGCCAGTTCCAACTAGCTCACCATGCTGTGACAGTGGCAGCTCCCATCCTAGTGCCAGTGTGGAAAATAGTGAAGGAGTGGCTGTTGACAAAATTTGACAGAACATATCAGTTAGTTGGCTTGGACAGAAAGTTAATGGGCTAAGAAATGATTCGACAGTGCCAGAATGAAGACAGTGAATATATATTGTTTATCAAAAGCTGATTGAACAAAAAGCAACATGTTAATTGGGTTTATGTTCAAGAGATCTTATAAAATTGGATATTTTAGGGTGTGTTTATAAGCTGTACAGGAAGAGACGGCAATACCAGGAGCACAGAAAGTAGAAACAAATGGTATCCTATTGCAGTTAACAGTTTTGACAACTATGCACTTACTCTGGGAAAATTTAATTTTATAGGGAAAATAAAATTTTCTAAACAACAAAATCATATGTAAGGCTGCATTATTGGGGCACTGAGATGGAGCTTTAGAGGTCAAGGGTTTTAATCACCACTGCAGATTTATTTGCTGTAGAATTTGGAGCAAGTTACTTTGATTTTCATTGGTTTGAAGGCATGTAAAGTTTAACAAACTCAAATGTAGCTTCTCTCTTTGTCTTGTCACATACGTAATATAACGGGGATCTAGCCCCGTAACTACGAAGGATAATTGGGCAGGATGTTTGTAATTAACAAAACCTCACATTTTGCGAATAAAATGCTGCACAAACATTTCCCCAAACCCATCATTTTCTATATAACTTCAAACTACTTTACGCTGCATCTTATTTAATGTCTAAAAGCCTAGACTTGAAAATGACTAATAATTTCAGAATTTCTAAGAGTTTGGAAAAGCGTGGGTGGTATTTATGAAAAAGCCCGATAAGGAAACTACAGTCACGAATTCTCTTGCATATATTTCAAACACTCTGTGTTAGCAGACACCAACCAGACCCATGAAGATCTTGAAATAGCATCTTTGTAGCCTCCTGGTTCAGACTTGATTCATGGTATCGCAATCAGCATCTTGCCTCTTTTGGAGTTCAGCAGCCTCCTTGTTTTGCTCAGTTTGCAACCAGGTAAGCGCTTGCAGTGTTATATATGGTCATGATGCCTGCTGCAAATTACAAGGAAATCATTTTGCTGGTTTTCATACTTTAGCTCCCTTCTAACTGAACAGCTTGTGAGCATTGTTTATGCAGGCCTGGTTGCTGGCCAGGGCTGCTTCCTCTCAAGGTCCCCTGATACTAGTCTTCTCTCACATGCAACTCTAGCCTAATCTGAACTAAGAAGAATTTTAAAATTGCAAGTCTTATTTCACAGGAAATGATTTTCTTTCCTCTTTTGTTTCCTGAAATATGCTTTTATTTTTATTTATCTTTATTTTAAAAAAATATTTTATTTATTATTTTTATTTTATGTGTATGAGTGTTATGCCTGCATGTACATAAGTGCACCCACGCAGGACAGAAGAGGCTGTTGGATCCCCTGGAACTGGAGTTACGGACAGTTGTTAGCTGCTATGTGGGTGCTGGGATTCAAACCCGGGTCTTCTGTAAGAACAGTGTTCTTAACTGCTGAGCCATCTCTCCAGCCCTGCTTTTATTTTTAAATAACAGTGTACATATTTATGGATTATAGTGTGGCATTGCAATACTTGTATACCATGTATACTGATCAGATCAGGGCAATTGACATAAATGCTCCCTTGGACATTTATCATTTCTCTGTGTTGGAAACATTTGTACTTCTCTAATATAACTTGGAAATATATGACAAAATGTATAAAGTCCTGTGGGTTGGATATGGTGGGGTGCAGATTGGGAAGGGGGTCTAAATATGATGAAGATATTTTGTATGAACTCCATGAAAATTCAATAAAAATATATTCTAACAAACATGGACTTAATTGTTGCTAACAATAGTTACCCTACTGTGCACAGCTGGATGTTATACCTCGTGCCCTACTCCTTACCTACACGTCCTCCTACACCTCTAATGGATATGCTGCTTTTTTAAATAATCATTAACCTTTCAGTTAGCATTTGAAAAAGATGGGTTTCTTTATGACATTTTCATGCATGTTATTTTACTTTGCTCTACTTACTACCCTGTGGCCTCACCCCGTCATCCTGCTGGTCTCCTTCCTCGCCCTTAACAGACCCCATCTGTCATTATTCTTCATTTGAGTGAAAGCATATGATATTTGTGTAGGAAATGATTGTAGCTGGACTTTGAGTACTGCTGAGACAAAGATGCCATCAAGTAGAAGACAATATAGTTATATGCAACTGATATGCATTAAGGATGTAGAAAGAAGAGAGACAGCATGAGTAAAGGTACTCCCTCTCTCCCTGTGACTCTGTGCTTCAGATGAATCATCTGTCGTTGGTAGCTCTGACTCTATGGCCCAATTGTCACTACTTTTCTGTCTCATTCCATGCTTTGGGAACTGTATTCCCATAGCATGCCTTGTGCCTGAATCAGTCTGAGAGATTTTCAGTTAACTGTTTGAGTCTTTGGATGTGATAAATATCTATTGTGTGAAAAGCCTCTGTCAATTATTACCATGTGTCTGTCCATATGTAAGGATGGTTTCAGTTTGTATCCTTTTTTGGTTTGTTTACTGTAGCTTTTCAATTTTCTTCCTTAGGGTAGATCTCAATGCAGTCAATGAGTTATAAAACAATGATTTTAAATCAATAGGACAGGGAGCAAAAGGGGAGCTCAAGTGGGTCACAGTTTTGAATATACTGAATATAAAATATTATGATTTTGAGTTCATGTTTTTATTATAGAATAAAATTGGTTTGCTTAAAAAAAACTACAAGAAACATTCTTGAAAGGCTTGTGTCCAGTAGCTTAGAGCAAATGAATTCACACCATGTAAAGATGGTACATAAATATGGAATGGGGAAACCATGAGGAGTTGGACTTAACTAGAATTATCAGCATGAGCTTATGATTTAGGAGATGTATTCATTGCTGGCTTTGTACCCATAACAATATAAATAACATGTAAACATGAAGACTTTGGAAGCTGGGACTGGAGAGATGGCTCAGCAGTTAAGAACACTGAATGTTCTTG